GTGGGATTTTTGTTATGTTTACCTCTGCTATTGATTGTTCTTAAGGTAATCTTTTAAGCTAATTTCTTTGTGAATTCAGAGGAAATGAGACTCTAGAATATGGTTTTTTGCTGATTTGACTTCAAGCAGTGAAACGTGGATTTTTGAATTTTTATTCATGGTTATAGGTTAATTAATACTGCTTTTGCTGCTTGCTTACATTATATTTCAGAGTTCTGGAAAGTCATCTGTGTTGGAAAGCATAGTAGGCCGAGATTTTCTTCCTCGTGGATCAGGTGAGTTCCTTTGAACTTTTATCTTTATCATAGTTTTCTTTATAAGATACTTTTATGAGTTTATCTCTGCCATTCATCATTTCATTCTGACCTAAAACACTTCTACTACCACATTTTACATAATTATGTGACATACATTCGGGCTATGAGTGAAATCGTATGTGGTATCTATTCAGGGATTGTTACAAGGAGACCATTGGTGCTGCAGCTTCATAAGACTGATGACGGACAGCAGGAATATGCAGAGTTTGGTCATCTGCCGAGAAGACGGTTTACAGATTTCGGTATATCGAATAACCTCCATTGTTTCTTCTTCTTTTGGGGCATTAGTTTAGCCCCCCCACCCCCACCCACCCACACCCAAAAAAAAACCATTTCTGAATTATCTTAACTCTTTACCATTTCATGACAACTAATGATGTCGAAGTAACTAAGAGACATTTTTGCTTACAAGTGAAGTAAATGAGAGACATGATTACTTGTACGTAGAACATTAAATGTTGTTATATTAGTTCGTTCTTTCGCTCTTCTTTCTCTTTCTCTTAATGTGTGTGCATGTGAAGTGACATGTATGTGTGCCCTCAAGCACGTGTATCAGCAGTTTATCTATTAGCATTAGATTCTGATTCGACAAGATGTGTGTGTTCAATATGACTTTTTTAACAGCCGTTGTTCGCAAGGAGATTTCGGATGAAACTGATCGAATCACTGGGAAAACTAAGCAGATTTCTCCTGTTCCTATCCACCTGAGCATATACTCTCCAAATGGTATGCTGTCCATCATTTCTTTACATGTGCTTAATGATTCATTTATGGTCCCAAAAAGTAATCTTTCTACATTGCAGCAGTATGTTTTCTAATAGTTTCTGACGACAGTTGTCAAAAAAATATGTTTCTGAAGTTGGTTATTTCGCATACATGTCTGCTTTTCTAAATTTAAATCAAAGATGGACTTGATTTTTAGTATTTCGTCTTAACGTTCTCATTTAATACCAAGAATGAGTGGTCTTCTCTTGTTCCTTTTGGTGGGTGACTGCTGTAAAGAGCATAGAATTCTCTCTCTATCGTGCTAACTCCATATTATGTGTTTTGTCTTGGCAGTGGTCAACTTAACTCTGATTGATTTACCTGGTTTAACAAAAGTGGCTATTGGTATGTTCCATACTTACTTTCGTTATTTGCATTCTTTTTAAGTCTATCAAAGCTGTCTCCAATGCAACAATACTCATTACTGCAGACGGGCAGTCTGAGACTATAGTTGAAGACATTGAAAACATGGTTCGAACGTATGTTGAGAAGGTAACCCGAGAAACTAATTTACTTTCTTATTCTGCTGACATGTGCTCGGTTTGTATCTGTCTCTTCATCTTAACTCTTTCCTCTTATGTAGCCCAACTGCATTATTCTAGCAGTTTCTCCTGCCAATCAGGATATTGCCACCTCCGACGCAATAAAACTTGCAAGAGAAGTAGACCCCACAGGTATAATCTTTTGATATTAACATTTTGGGGACTCTGAGTCCAGTAGTTTGAGTACTTGTCAAAGAGTACCCATATTTTGGGGAAATGTGCAATGCTAGACTTTGTCATTATCATTTATGGAAGATTCACATTGCAACCCATGCAGGTGAAAGGACATTCGGAGTGTTGACCAAGTTAGATTTGATGGACAAAGGCACTAATGCTCTAGATGTGAGTTTTATTTATTTATCTATTATATTACCTGGGAACTTCTTACTTTCACTTTGTATATCCAAATCCCACTCTCCGAGTCTTTGTTTCACTTTATATATTATAATTTGGTAGCACTACGAGTAGTTGATTCTTTTTCCTCGAATTTAAGGTTCTTGAAGGAAGAGCTTATCGTTTGCAACATCCCTGGGTTGGTATTGTGAATCGTTCACAAGCGGATATAAACAAAAATGTAGACATGATCTATGCAAGAAGAAAGGAGCGTGAATATTTTGCTACCAGTTCGGATTATGGGCATCTGGCTAGTAAAATGGGTTCAGAGTACCTAGCAAAACTACTGTCAAAGGTATACATTTAGTTATTTTCGTGTAAGGAGGAGTTCCTAGATAAGTTAAGCAGAGTTCATATTCAGATTGTTTCCATTTCAGCACTTGGAACAATTTATTAAGGCAAGAATACCAAATATCACCTCACTTATCAATAAAAGCATAGATGAGCTTGAATCGGAAATGGACCACCTTGGAAGGCCTATTGCTGTTGATTCTGGCGTAAGCTCTGACTTCTATATCTCTCGTTGCTACTGTTGATTAAGAGATTTTGCTGATCTCAGTAACTGAACTGGTCTATTTCAGGCTCAACTGTATACCATTTTGGAACTTTGCCGTGCCTTTGATAAGATATTTAAGGAGCATCTAGATGGAGGGTAAGTGGATTATATTTTTGTTTTCCTTAAATTTTCAAATGTTACGGAAATTAGGCCCAAGACTGTGCTAGTCCCATATTGTTTTCAGCTTAATTCGTGTCATCTATGACGAGACGTTTTTGAATTTTTAGGGGTGGGGGATGGGTAGAGTGGAAAGAGGACTTTTGGATAAGAGTTAACTGAGACCACCAAATGTAACACGTAATCTAACTTTCATTATTATAAGTACTTAATAAAATCAAAAGGAACATAGTATAGTACCCATAAAACACAAGGAATTTAAATAAATTCCACTCATCAGAACTTGAAAAATCAAAATGATCTGTAGTATAGTACCCATAAAACACAAGGAACTTAAATAAATTGGCAACACATCCCAGTAGACACGTCACACTCGTCTATCTTTTCTGTAAGGGATAAACTTGCTTGTACTGATTCAAGATAAACATCCAGTTTATTGCTTGGTTTTCACATATATAACATGTATTAATCTCTTTTTGTCAATCAGTCGACCTGGTGGTGATCGAATTTATGGAGTTTTTGACAACCAACTACCTGCTGCTTTGAGAAAACTCCCGTTTGACCGATATCTTTCTGTGCAAAATGTGAGGAAAGTTGTTTCAGAGGCAGATGGTTACCAGCCTCACTTGATAGCTCCTGAGCAAGGTTATAGACGGCTAATTGAAGGGGCCTTAAATTATTTTAGAGGCCCAGCTGAAGCCTCTGTTGATGCTGTAAGTAATTGTTCAAAATTTATCAAGGTCAAGTAGTTAGTGCTTCTCATTGACGCTAAGTTTATATGCAACTAACCCTCGAAACTATATATCAGGTTCACTTTGTGTTGAAGGAACTAGTGAGGAAATCTATTGGGGAATGTCAGGTAATGTTGACTGCGGCAGCTGGGTTGAATTCTACTTCCCTACCTCCCCTCCCACAACCCCTTCTCCTTTAACTATTATTTCTAAATGTATTGTTGGAGCCAGGAGTTGAAGCGGTTTCCCAGTTTGCAATCTACAATAGCTGCAGCTTCTAATGAAGCCTTAGAAAAATTTCGGGATGAAGGTAGAAAGACGGTAGTAAGACTAGTGGACATGGAATCATCTTACTTGACAGTGGATTTCTTCAGAAAACTACCTCAGGAGATGGAAAACCAGAAAGGAGGAAAGCCAGAAGCTACTGCTGCCGTAGACCGATATGGAGAATATCACTTTCGGCGGATAGGTTCAAATGTATCATCTTATGTGAATATGGTGTCGGATTCATTGAGGAACACCATCCCCAAAGCAGTTGTTTATTGTCAAGTTAAGGAGGCCAAACAATCTTTGTTAAATTACTTCTACACCCAGATTGGGAAGAAAGAGGTACTTGCTCAGTGTCCCTTGTATTCATGTTTATTTAATTTTAAGACAATCTTTTGTTCATTGCAAGATCAAGCACTCATAAATCTGATTCAAGCTCCCCCNTTTAAGGAGTTGTTGAATATTATAGCTTAGAGTGCAAGTCTCTGCTAAGGGTTTGAGCTTTACATCGGTTAAGTTGTGGAAATATTGGTTACTCTTCAAAGAAATATTGCATCATCGAAATCTTGTCATTTCTTGTTAGTGTACTAAGAAGTGAGCAAATTGATAATAGGAGGAACATTTTCCTTAACCAAAATTCTATGAGCATCTGCAATAGATAGAATTAGTGTATCTCATACAAGTGCTGATAGTTCTGAGAAAATTTATCTCAGGGCAAGGCACTTGCAGAATTGCTAGATGAAGACCCTGCACTGATGGAGAGAAGAATGCAGTGTGCTAAGAGGCTCGAACTGTACAAGAAAGCAAGAGATGAGATTGATTCTGTAGCATGGGTACGATGAGATAATTGTGCGAGACCTTCTAATGATACCACAAATTCACCACTTGGGTGAATCGATGTTGCTGCTTGATCAGCCTAAAATTCTTTAATTGTTGTAGAATTTTCACATTATTTGGCTTGGATTGTTGCTTTATTGTTACTATATATTTGTAATACGACATATTCATTTGCCATTCTGCTCAAGCTGCTGCTCCATTTTTGTACTTGAATTTATACATATGGGCTTTGAGTAATGTATAACTATCAGGGAATTTCAACAGATTAAAAATTATTTCCTAAATGATGTAAGAGTAGCTGACTCTAGACTTGATTTTTACACTGAAAGCATCTTTCTAAAACGAACAAGAAAAGAAACATAGGCATAAAACAATCATAGGAGAATTGATCTCCACTGACAGTTTGGTCCCTTTAAAGAGTTACACGGTTTAACATACTGAGACAATAAGAATGGGATAAAATGAAGAACAGATGTGTGTACTAATTGTAAGATATATGTAGAGAGAGATCACTTTAGGAGGGGGAAAAACGAAAATTTAGCTGGTGCTTTTCTGTCACTGGTTGGCTCAATCACTTGAAGCATTCTTTTTCAGATTCAAGTATCCTTTATTTAGTTTTCTTCAAGTTGCAAGATCCTCAGCTCTTCCATTATATAATAAGGGACTCTTACGAAACTCGGCAAAAGCTTGTGCTAATACATTACATTCCAAAAGGTTTTGACAATGGATGTTTTTAGTGTGTTTATACTTCCTGCTTGTCAGCATTGGCTAACAACAATCCGTCTTTAAAGTTAATGTAACATGCATTGCCGTGGCTGCGTCCTGTTTCAGAATTTGGCTTTCGGCAAAGCAATCCGCAAATGATAGTGAAGTTATACAAATGCTATGAATGACCCAGTATCGGATACGGGCAATAATATCAGCAAAAAATCATTCTCCGAACAAGAATTCTATTCTTCGAGCAAGAGAACTCAAGTCATTTGACCTCTGTGCCAGTCTCACAGGAATTTGAGATCTTAAACCGTCAAGTGTCCAGGAACTTACAAATGAGATGAGCAAACATAAAAAAGAATCAAAATGAACACGCAACAGCATACAAATTAAAGACTATTTTCCATCTTTTGACTGAACTCATGCCGCTAATGACAATAGGCACATGAAACTAACTCGCAGCACATTTTGTCCAAAAGATGCAGGGGGTTAGGAGGGGGCTAGTCAATTGATCTATTAGTAGTATCTACTCTTGCTGTCCACCTTATCAAGAGAGAAAGAAGTATCTAAATATCTATTTTCACGAATTATCTGGAGGAAAGCAAATGAGTACCTCTAAGTCTCAATACATGGATGTCAGAAAGGCTTACAATCAGAGTGCCATGACAGGAGCCACTATGAGTATCCTCTTCAACTTCCTACATAACAAGGAAACCATGTTTAACTTCAAACCTCCAATTTTCACCCAAACAATCACATAGTTACTACCCTGTGAGTATCAATGCCATGGGCTGAAGCTAAGAAAAAAATCCCTGAACGAGCAGGTTGTCACTGAAGAGGTGTCGTTGATGCATTCTGTAACAGCTTCACCAGAATCAAACTCATATCTGCTAGTGACATGCCACATCCAAATTACATTTAATATCTAAGTACCTGAATTGGGTGGATTCAAAGATACATGACGGAAATGAAACTAATATAATCTACCCAAGGAAAATAACAGCACAGGAGAATCTTTTGTCATTTTGGATTGAACATGAGGTTATTAATTTGATCAATCCGAATATCAGATATAGGCTCTATAGGTTGCTCATGGTCGTCTAATGAAGGGTCATTGCTCAATGGTTCTCTCGTGAATTCATCTGTAGAATAGACCAAATACAAACATTAATAGCTAGATCCCATCATTGCGTAAAACAACTATACATCACATGTCCTCAACAGACAATGCTAAAATTATATTAAAGCATGTGCAAGACAGAAACTCAAAGAAGATCCTTTCCACTGCCATAACGAGAAAGTCAGGTGCAATTACCATATATCATGCTGAAAGAAGTTGGAGGAGGGGAAGACAAGAAGTTGAGACCAATGTAAAATCCTACAGCTAGTACTATAGTCATCATCGCATAAGCTGGCACAGCTAATGCCCAGTACCTGAAAAACGAAAATCAATTTAACAGGAAGCCGCATATATCTTGTGACAATTAGTAAGTAACCAGCTAAGCTCTTAAGTCTTAACCAAGCAAATTATTTTCCTCTCAAGCACTCTGCAAATGCTTTATGTCCCTTTCATGCAGTTGTACACTTCTAAAATGTGGGAGCAGTATATCTCAATATCTGAAATGCATGCAGGTAAGGAGTTTATATATCAAAAATTTCATGCATTTCTTTTGCATTTGTTTAAAAAATAGGTGAATTTTTTTTTTCAGATTCTTTTTAAACCGAACGCCATTAAAGATTATAGGCGTTTTTTCTTTTCTTTTTTTTTTTTGCAAAAACCGAGAAACTTTTCTCTAATGAAGCTAAGCACAACCTAGTTAATTGGAATAAAACTAGCCCGGCTTCTGGCTCAGGAGTCAAGCAGACCAAAGAAGCTAAGCTCAACCTAGTTAAATGCAACTACATTTTGTTTACCTGCTCGGATAGTAAACAATACCCAAAGAATGCAACCAATTTTCTGGAAGATATGCCCACACCAGGAAAAGAACTGTCCACAAAAATAATAGAGACAGATCAGACTTCCCTATGCGTGAAATCAAATTATTGTTGCAACCACTGGAATATAAGTGAAATTAGGTTAAAGCAAAGCAGACATACATACAAAAGACGAGACCTCAATGCTTTACGACAGACAACAGATTGTAGAAATATCAACTGTTTTCAGCGTTTGAAGAGTAATATATCCAGAAAGTTCAATAGAAAGTAATATAGATTCCCAAGAAAAATGAGTTTGCATATTCGGCCCTTTATCAAGATAATGGTGGTGCTGCACAAGCAGTTGCCACGAAGGCAAAGCAGTGGAACCAAAAGGGAAGGCTCACAAGTAACTTTCATAGCATGAAGAACATTTCGAAAGAGAGATGAATGCATAACATTACACCACTAAAGATTCAACTGTACTGCCAGACCATGAAATCAAAGGCAAAAGCAAATATTCAAAAAAATGGATATATTCCAAGTAACAAACTAAGCTTCTTAAAAAGGAGGAAGAATAGACCTGTAGCAACAACAGTAGTAATGGAGCCAACGAATCCATAAACTTCAGAAGTCTTGGGTCCTTGATCTCCAGAAACACCAAATCCTGAACCTCTGTCATCTGAATCTGGAAAGAATACAGTGGTCGTCCTATTTTTGGAGAAACTCAAGATCCTCCTAGGGCTATTAACGGAACGAGGATCTTCCCAACCTTTATCTTCCAGCATCCCAAGATCACAGAAGGGCCAAAGCGTCACTGTGAATAAGAATTAAACCTGCCCCAAAGATTCCCAAAACACCCAAAGCATAGATATTAGTACCAAAAAACCTGCAAGTACCATTAACAATTTCCACAAAACACCCAGCAAGCAAAAGCGTAGTAACTATGAGGATCATTAGTTGCTTAGAAATTATGGGACGAAAGGAGCTTGCTAGCAGGTATTCGTCCTTATAATTCAGATCAGTCTGAAAGTGGAAGAAAAGATGTCCCAAACAGGGCTGACATGAATTTCACTCAGAAAAAAGAGTTGAAGTATCGTGGGTGAAACCATTGTTTCACTTGAAATACTCCTCAAACAAGTTTTTTCAACTTCACAACTTCTTATTTCAAGTTGATTCGAAATCAATGGCCACACGAATCATTTCATGATTGAGTAACTAAAAGAGCAGATTTGTTGTCAGTTATTAGTATTCATTGTCAAAGTATAAAAGAAAAATAGAAACACAGGGTCCGAGATATCGTGGCTAACTCCGGGAAAATTTTAGCCTGTTCTAACCTCCAATCAATCAGATGCTTGTGCTCGTATTACAGAATGCTAAAATGCGGTGAAAAGACAACTAAATCAACAACGTCACTATCCCAAAACTAGCTTTGCTCAGCTATTATGAATGTTCTAGCATATACTCAAAAGAAAATGAAACAAAATCAGCAATTTGAGAATGCAGAAAATCAAACACCTGAGAAAGTCCTTTCTCAGTTGCGAGCAAATTGAAGGCTGTTTCGAGCATGCAATTAGGGATTTCAAGTCCTAATTCCAAATTCATAAGGACCCCAATTCTTTTTTACTATATATTTCAGCTTGGTCTCAGGTGTAAATAAATCTCAGATATAAAATGGGACTCACAAGGAGAACGTAACAGATACAACAATATAATATTTGAGTTTCATTTCAGATTCGATAAACGCAATTCAAAAAATTATAATAACACCCAAAAATGCAATTAAATAGACATAGGTAAGAATTAAATCCAAAAGAGATATCTCTTTACCGAGTTTCTTCAGCTGCTACCCAATTTGAAGACATCTCAGCTCTGCAATTGAAAAGGATAAAAGAAGGTGTGAGTTGTGACTTCTCCGGCATGTAAATCTCTGTTTTATCTTCATTCATTCGTGTAAAAACAATTGGAACCCAAAATTTATCATTTTTGTTTCTTTTTCCAATTAATATCTCAACACAATAAAGTGGGATATTAGGATGTAAATATCAGAGTGGATAATTTTTTCCATGAAACGCTACTTAAAACAGATAATGGCAATTGAGCTTGTATTAGAAGGGATAAATTTTTTATAATTCCAAAAATAATAAATTTATAAGAAAACGTACATAGGCAATTCTTTTGAAGTCAAATGTATAAGGAAAAATACTGCAAAAAAAAAAAAAAAAAAAACGCAAAAACAATCTAATCTTTTCATAATCTATCATAGTATTATTGTATTGTAATGTATCATCTTGATTTATACAATATTTGGATATATTGTATTATTTTTCGTCGTTTCATAATGTTACGAAGAATAAACTTGTAATATTACGAAGAAAAAGTAAGGTAAGAGGTAATATTATTATATATAAAAAGGTAGGATAAATGATAAAATATGATATAAGGTAAGAGGTAATAATATTATATATAAAAAGGTAGGGTAAATGATAAAATATGATTTTCTTAAATAATAAAAAAGGGCAAGATGAGAGGAAAAAAAATAAGAAAATGACGCGACCAAACCAAATCGGTCGTTCCATAAAGTGACACTTTTCGCCGTTACGTAATGACGAATTAATTGTTGAGATTTTAAGCTTGTGTAGCTCAAAGAGGGTGAATGAGAAATGTAGCAAAATGAAATATTTGACTTTCCCTCATTGGCAAAGGGGCATTGTCTCATATTGGAGGAAGAAAAGATTTTTTATGGGTATATATATAATTGCTCTTCTTCTAGCTCTTAAAGAGTTAAGAAGAAGGCAAGCCTCGCGCCGTTGTCGTCGTCACTCTCTCGGCTTCGGCTTTGGTCAAAGATTGATTGATTAATCTTTTTGGACAAAATTTCTTTCAATTATTTAATTAATTAATTAAATAATTAACGAAAAATTCAATCCGGAATAACCCATGACCCGCGACCCGGTCCGGTCAGGCCCGTTTTCTTTCCCGGATTATTTTAAATTTGTTTTCCCGCAATATTTCAAACAACCTGTTCCAACAGCCATGGTTGTTTCTAAAAGGTTGCAAACCTTTTCAGAAACAATGCCAGCAACTCTATAAATATACTTTGAATCCCAGAATCTTTCCTTACGAAATTTTTTGATCTTCTTCTTCTTCTGCACAAAAATTCCAGTGTGTTTTACAGCCTTCGAGTGGCTCGCTGTTCATCAGCGTTTTTGGTACCAACATTCAAGTGAGTTAAATCGTTCTATCCTGGGAGGATATATTCCAGCACCTCGGGTACTTGAGGGGAATAATTTTCTTAAGGACACACTATGTATTCAGTGGGCTCGATTTATTCCTATACTATTTTTCCAGAATTTATTTCGTTAAACAAGTATTACTAACTTTCTGTTTTGTTTATATATTTCAGAAAGTTTAATGGTTTAATTATTTATTACAACAATCCAGATTTATAACAATCTTAAGGAAATTATTTTATTATATTCTGTATTTTATTTGTGGAGATTAGTACCTCGGTGGTTTTCTACTCCTTCTGAATTTTACTATTCTGATTTGAAGATATAAAAACTTCATCAGAGTATTGAAATTCAGAAAACGATTTGAAGAACATAAAAACTTCATCGTTTTTTGTGAAACGGTATATAAAAACTTCAGTTTTATTTATTATACATACTGTTTGTTATTAATAACAGTATTGTTTACTGTTCTAGTTTTGCCATTAATTGAACTCTTCTGTTATTTATAGTGAGAAATGGCAATTGATAACGAAAATTCTTCCGCGACTGTTGCGGCAACGACGATAGCCTCGTCAAGCCGGACTGCTGTTCCACCGGCAGAGAAATCGGGGAAATTTTCCGGAGCCAACTTCAAAGAATGGCAGCAAAGGGTGTTCTTCTGGCTTACCACACTTGGTATGCAGAAATTCACTAGTGAAGAACCTCCAGTGCCTACTGCGAACATGTTGGACAACGAGAAATTCATGATTGTTGAGGCGTGGAAGCAGGCAGATTTTCTTTGCAAAGGCGATATCTTAAGCGCTTTAGAGGATGACTTGTACAATGTCTACAGTGCGATGAATACTTCGAAAGAATTATGGGACGCACTTGAGAAGAAGTACAAGACTGAAGATGCATGCTTGAAGAAGTTCGTGGTTGCCAAGTTTCTAGACTATAAAATGATAGACAATAAAACTGTTGGAACCCAAGTTCAGGAATTTCAATTTATTTTTCATGACCTTATTGCTGAAGGTATGGTCGTGAATGAAGCATTTCAAGTGGCTGCAATGATTGAAAAATTGCCTCCTTCGTGGAGAGATTTCAAGAACTATCTTAAGCACAAGCGCAAAGAAATGAAGTTGGAAGATCTTGTGATTCTTCTCAAGATTGAGGAAGACAACAAAACAGCCGAGAAGAAGTCTCGTGGAAATTCAACGATCATGGGAGCTAATATCGTTGAGGAGACTGCTCCAAAAAGTAAGAAGAGAAAGAGGTCTTCCGGACAGACTAAGGAGCAGAACAAAAATAAATTCAATGGCAACTGCTACAATTGTGAAAAAACCGGTCACAAAGTCCGTGATTGTCATCTCCCGAAAAAGTATAAGAAGAAGGGAGAGGCCAACATAGTGGAGAAAAATGATGACATTGATGATCTGTGTGCAATGCTTTCGGAATACAACCTAGTTGGAAATCCGAAGAAGTGGTGGATTGACTCTGGAGCCACTTGACATGTTTGTGATATCAAGGAAGCATTTGCGACTTACTCTACTGCTAGTCCCGAAGAAGAGCTTTTCATGGGAAATACTGCAACAACCAAGATTGAAGGTTATGGGAAGATATTCCTGAAGATGACTTCCGGCAAGGTGTTAACGCTCAACAACGTTCTTCATGTTCCTACTATTAGGAAGAATTTAGTTTCTACTTCTTTACTTGTTAAGAATGAATTCAAATGTGTATTTGTTTCTGATAAAGTTGTTGTGAGTAAGAATGAAATGTATGTTGGAAATGGCTATCTCACATAGGGTCTCTTCAAACTAAATGTAATGGTTGTTGACAGTATGAATAAAATTTCAGCTTCTTCTTATTTATTGGAGTCAAATGATTTATGGCATATTCGTTTAGGACATGTCAATTACAAAACCTTGCGAAAGTTAATTAATTTAGAAGTATTGCCTAAATTCGAGTGTAATAAATCAAAATGTCAAATATGTGTTGAGTCTAAGTTTGTAAAACATCCTTATAAGTCTATTGAAAGGAATTCAAATCCTTTAGACTTAATTCATACTGACATTTGTGATATGAAGTCGACACCATCTCGAGGTGGGAAAAAGTATTTTATTACTTTTATTGACGATTGCACTCGATATTGTTATGTTTATTTGCTTAATAGTAAGGATGAAGCAATTGAAGCATTTAAGCAATACAAAAATGAAGTGGAGAATCAATTGAATAAAAAGATCAAAATGATTAGAAGTGATAGGGGTGGAGAATATGAATCTCCGTTTGCAGAAATATATTCGAAAAATGGAATTATCCATCAAACTACTGCACCTTACACACCTTAATCCAATAGAATTGCGAAAAGGAAAAATCGGACATTAAAGGAAATGATGAATTCTGTATTAATAAGTTCCGGATTACCGCAGAGTTTGTGGGGCGAAGCTATCATTACAGCTAACCGAATACTCAACAGAGTACCCCACAGCAAAATACAATCTATTCCATATGAAAAATGGAAAGGAAGAAAATCCAACTTGAAATATTTCAAAGTGTGGGCGTGTCTAGCAAAGGTACAAGTTCCTTTACCTAAAAGGGTTAAAATCGAACCAAAAACTGTTGATTGCGTTTTCATTGGATATGCTACAAACAGTAAAGTATGTCGATTTTTGGTTCATAAATCCGATAATCCCGAAATTCAAGTTAATACGGTAATGGAATCAGATAAAAAAGAATTCTTTGAAAGTATCTATCCGTATAAAACTGAATGTGAGTCGTTAAGTGAAAGACCTAAA